CTCCCCAACCAGGCGGGTGGAAAGACCGAGGTCCAGAGACACAGGAGGAGGAATTTGGTCCCCGGTCCTGTCTTTATATCTCTGCTCCTCTGACCCCACACCCTCCCAGCGTCTGTTCCAGACCCATCTTTATAAATGATCTCCAAATTCTATTAACTTTAGAGACGTCCCTGTCTCTAAATTTCCTGTCCCGTATATCTACATTCCTCTGGGTTATCTCTGCATGATTCTTCACATATCAAAGTTCCATAGTTGAATCCATAATGTTGCCCAATCTATGATAAATTAATTATTAAAATGCCCCTGTTCCCTTTCTTTCCATCTAGCCCTCCCTCTGCCTGGTACTTCTCAGCGCCTCACTCTGCTGCTGGGCTCGGTCATTGACCAGGTGTGGCCAATGAGGGAGCAGCTCAGTGCCTATAGCAGAGGCTGGGAAAGTGCTGCCCCCTTGGTTTCTCCCTCTGCCATTTCCATGGGGTGGATGGGCTTGGGCTGGCGCTGGAGGACAGGACTCACTGATGTCACCTGGCACCCCAGTCTTTCCAGCTGAGGCTGTCCTGGATCAACCAACAGCAAACTGACCAGAGAAACGTGAACTACCTGAGCTAAAGTCTCCAAGGTGACCTCTTCAACTGACAGTGTACAGGACAAATAAAAATTAAATGTAAGGGCCAGGCAGGAGACAGAGAGAGAGAGAGAGAGAGACAGAGACAGAGAGAGAGAGAGAGAGTGTGCGTGTGTTCCCATGATGCAGTTCAGTTGAGGCTGAGGGTGGATCATGGTATGAAGACCCTGTTGGGGGTCTCTCTCTGAAGAAATAATAAACTCTTTTTTAGAGAAAGATTTTTGCTATAGGACATGTACATTTGCTGGATAGACAGACAGAGACAGACAGACAGAAAGTGAGAAACTGCCCCCCCCTCCCGGGAAGGATGGCTACACCATAATTCTTTCTTCTCCATTCTCCTCTCAGAATTTTCAGCACACACACACACACACACACACACACGCACCTGGTGTGAGTTTTAAATTGCCGGGTGTGGGATTAGAACCATGGTCTGCAATATGGGAGTCTAGCTATGTAACCATTATACCATCTGCTGGTTCCAAGATAAATAAACTTTTAAAAACGTGAGATGCTTGGACCAGCAGGTGATGTAGTGGTTAAGGTGCTGGATTCCACATGGCCAATTGCATGGTTCAAATCCTGGACCCAGCAGCTTCAGTAATATGCCAGGTACATAGGCTCAAAAACTTGAAAGGGGGGAACCAGCAGTTAGCGTAATGGCTATGTCGTTGGACTCCCACATAGTTGACCGCGGTTTGCGTCCCGGACCCTGTGGCTTAAAACGCACACCGGGCGCATGTGCGTGCATGCCCAAGATCCCGAGAGGAGAATGGAGGAGAAGGGATTGTGGCATGACCATCCCCCCGGGGGGTGATTTCTCGCTTTCTGTCTCTATGTCTCTCTCTGTCTGTCTGGCGAGCGCACGCGCCCTATAGCGGAAAAACCTCTCCAATAAATAAATAAATAAATAAAACAAACTTGAAAGGAGAATAGAGAAGAGATTGTAGTGTAGCCATCCATGCTGAGAGGTAATTTCTCACTTTCCCTGTCTTCCCCCTACCCCCCATCCCAGTCTGACGAGCACACACGCTCTATAGCAATATAAAAATAAAACTATAAATAGAAAATTGAGACTTTTAATTTTCCTCTTGAAAATTAGAGAAGAAATTCCCTTCTCTTCCTTTCCATAGAGCATTTCTTTAGAAACTTGAGTTTGTAACTTCCCCTGCCTTTGAAATGCATATATATATACAAACATATATATCATTTGGAAACTACTTAGACCTTTTGCCAACCTTATGGCCTACAAATGCCTTTCCCAAGGACCTGGGAGCCTTCTCTTTGAAGAAGAGATGAGACACCTATCTCCCCATCCTCTAGGAGGGTAGGTGCCTCATTCAGTGGGCATCTCGCTTCAACTTGTGAAACCCCCTTCTGTCATAACGATGTGCAAAGTTTGTTTTTCTTTAGATAAAGTCAAATCGCTCACACAGACAATCACTCCAACTACCAGGTTAACTTAGGGGGAGCCATGTGTGACAGATGGTGCTTCAAGTCCTCTTACTTGAGGATTACGTATTGCGTATCTTGAAAATATATTTATAGGGCCAGCCCATGGTTAAGGGAGGGTTAAGGGAGCTGGATCCCACAGTACGGTTCAATTCCCAGACCTGGAAACTGGAGAAACATGCCAGGCCCATCTACACACGTGCCCAAAATCCTGAAAGGAGGAAGAAATGGAGAAGAAATCACACTGTGATGATGCCCCACAGGGGTGCTTTCTCCC